AAAAATATATAAAACCAAAATTATCATAATCAGCTCAGAGGGTGAATGTTTTTTTTTTTTTTTTTTTTTTTTCAAAATAACATTTCATCTTACGTACGTTCTCCATTTCTCTTCATTCGATTGCCCAAGAGAAAATTCATTTCGAACGTGATTCGAGTTACAATAGATTTAAAAAAAAAAAAAAATTTCTGGCCTATCAAAGGCCTATTAAATTCGCGTACAAGTGGCCAGAAAAGACTTGAACAAAAAAAAAAATTATGCTCAGTTAGGTATAACTAAAATGAGAAACTAAAAGATAAAAGGCAGCCCTTTTACCGATTGGACGGAATTGCGTCATTAAAACTCTTCCGCGAGCAATTAGAGTTCCGCTGTGCAATCGTAATTGGAAGAAAAATCCTCAAACTTGAAAAAAAGCCTTCCGGAAGTTAAAAAGGGAAGGGAAGGGGGATTTATTCATTGCTCGTAATTATTTTCTTTAAACTAAATATATAATAATATTGATACTACTAATAATAATAAAAATAATAATAATTTGTTTAATAAATAAATAAAAAACAACAATAATAATAATAATAACAATAATACATGAAAAAGCTATTTTTCTACATTTAGTTTTATTCGTAATTTTAAAAATTAAAATAAAAAAAATTTTTCTGACGATTTTAAAGTGACTAATTTTAAAATTTAGTGAATTGAGAAAAAAAAACACGTTTCATGGAATGATAGACGTTAACAATGATGCAATGCCTCCACTCTCTTTGACAATATGAGCAAGTATTTGGCAATTGAATCGTTAATTGTCACGGAAACGAATGCAAAATTGAAATACGTCAAATTGTTCGAAAAGCACAGGTTTCCTAATTATACAGTTGCATTTTTTTCGTTATAGTGACGCGATTAAATTTTTTAACTTTTAATTCCAAAAAAAAAATTACATTTAATTACCAGATTGTATTATTGCGAATAATTTCCCTTTTATATTTTGCCTCTTTAATCAATAATAATTGAATTTTTAAATAATTTATTGTAATTATAAAAAAAGACAAATATTTTTTTTCAATATACATATATAGGAATTTTTTTTTTTTTTACTTTGCTCAAAAATATTTTATTAAATTTTTATTTTTATATATTATTAAAAGATTATTATTTTTTTTAATTAATTTTATTTTATTAGACAAAATTATTATTTTTATGTACTTCCAAGACAGATATCTGAAGCCCGTATTCCTAGGTTTTGTATTCAATAAACAAATTGGTATAAACGATGAGACTTTATCTAGAGGTTTATCTCCTTTTCTAAGGAGGGCCAACTTTGTATAATATTTGTTTTTACAATAATATACAGATGATTAAGATGAATGAGACAAAATATTGCCACAAGATATATAAACACAAATGCACACATAGCATATCAGCTGATGTTGCGCGTCAATGATGCGCAGTTGAATCATTTTGTCACTATCATTCTCATTGGTCAGTCCTCTATACCTGTGGGTAAAACAGAATTGATTCGAGGCGCGAAATTTGAAATTGTATTTCGCACTTTTTTTAAAAATGCATTATTAATAATAAATAACCAATAATAATAATAAATAAGTAATGATAATGAATATATAATAATAATATTATGATAAAGTATTATAATAATTAATAAATTTATTAAATTTAAAAAAAATATAATTTCGTGTTCTTAAAAAATTTCAAAAATATCCAATTTTAAGGAGGAAAAAAAAATCGAGTGTCACTCGTCGTGGAATACAATACTGACTGCAAGGTTGGACGTAATTAAAAACATAAAAAGTCAAAAGAAGTAAAGGGAAATGAAGAATTCCAATCCTTCTCTTCCTGCTTAAAGGGAATGCGTCTCTCTCTCTTCTGCTTTGCACTCGTTCTCCTACCATGTCTTCTCCTGCATGTTCTCAAATGGAAATAACAAAAAGAAAGAAATCCCCACGTCTGCAGGATCTTCCCTTCTTCGCGTCGTTGCGGCGCTTCTCTTTCCACTTCCGCCTTCTTCATTACGCTCATTCAACTCCAAGTCCCTTGTGCATTAAAACCTCATTGCAACGAAAGCGTCGTTTGTTATTCTTCCACTAAAAAAAAAAGAAAAAAAAATCCCGAAAGAGAGAGAGGGATAGAATGTAAAAAAATAAAATCTGACTCCTTACCTTTTTTTTTGTGGCGTCGCAAATTAGATTCCTTTCATCTTTTAATGAATGCATAAGTAATTAAAATTTTTCTTAATTCTTCATTTAATTAATTATATTCTCCTAATTAAGAAATCCACTCAAAACATTCTTGTTTCATGTTTTATCTGACGATTAATTGAATCTCCCTCTTGTCGAAAGGGAAAGTCATTCATCTAAGAAACATTTTAATTCATGAAAAAAAAATTACAAAAGTAAAAAATGGATTTAGGAAAAATTAAAAATTTTCTTTTGATTATAAAATTTCTAATAACAATAAAGTATATATGTGATCTGGACAGTTAAAAGGGACCTTTTGTCCGAAAAAATCGATTTTTTATTGATTGGTGTTTCTGATAAAGAAAACTTTTTTCTATCAGAATCACCAATCAATAAAAAATTAATTTTTTCGGACAAAAGGTCCCTTTTAACTGTCCAGGTCACATATATATTGAGAATAAAATTTTAAAATAAAAATTAATTTGACAATTCTGTAAAATATTGTTAAACTTTTTTTTTGTTTCTCATGCTTTGAGGGACTTTTTCATATATTTAATTATTTATATTTTTGAAATCTATTTGTATAGGAACTCAGCAGGTGAAAAAAAGAAAGAAAATTACGATAATTAAGCTTTAATGAAATTCTGAGACGATTCGCGCGACAGAATGATTTACAAAGTTCTGGCTGTTATGCGAGAATATCGCGCACAAGCCACAAGAAGTATATATGTTCCGGCTGCATCGCGACAGAGTAATTATTCATTATGCTCAAGACCCGCCTCGTTTTACAGAGAAAATTGAATCTGCGTTTTGAAATGTCCTCTTTCCTCTCCCAAATACCCCCCCCTTACCCCCTCCACCACCCTCGATTAACGTTCGTTTAATTGCTTTCTCCAACACGCCATCAAAGTTTAAGAAACGACTTTTGCCTTTCCACAATGAATCAAAAAAAATTGTGATTTATACTAAAAAAAAATTATTTAAAATATTTTTTAATATTAAAAAAGTAAGATAAGTTTTTTTTTTTGAATTTGTGGAGTTTTTAAATCTGAATTTTTTGACCTATTCAGAAATATTCTAAAGTAGATTGATTCAGAATTATTTTAAAGAAATATAAAAAAAATATAAAAATACCGACACAGAAATCTATCTTATCGACTGATGATAAAGATTTTTTTTTGAAATTTTATCAGCTTTTTTAATACTGTTTTACTATCAGTCGGTAATGTACATTTCTGTATCTGTAATTTTTTATGTTTTCATTTCTCAAAAAAAACTGTTTTACCATCAGTGGATAAGGTAGATTTCTATGTCGGTAATATTTTATATTATCATTTTTAAAAAATTTTCTTTACCGCATAAGTGGGTAAGGTAGATTTCTAGGTCGGTAATTATTTATATTTTTCAAAAATTCTTACTATTTTGTTAATTTTTTAATTATTTACATACATATAAAAATGCATCGATTGACCTATTTGCAAATCTTTTGTGATAAAAACTTATCGAGTTATTAACGTTTCAAAAATCAAAAATTTTTTTAAATGTATTTGTAACTTTTAAAATATGCTTAGCTTAAATTAACATATTTTTGTACCTTTTACAACCAAATATTACCGAGTTATTGGCGTTTTTAAAAAAAAAAAACTTTAAAAAACATGACTTTTTATTTATTTTTTAACTAATCAAGAATCTAAAAATAATTCAAATAATTTCCGTTTCTCCTTCTCTCTGTGCGTAATATTTTGTTCATGAAGCAAAAACAGCTCGAGAGGATTTTTTGTACATAATATTAATATTTTTTTTAAATTTTTTAATCCTAATACTGTGAAGGGATATTGATTTCTGTTCAATATATTTGTGATCCGGAAATAAAAGTTTTGAGATTTAAGAAAGTTTTAAGTACTTTGCACTTTTCTCGGTTCGCTATTGCATTTTAGTTTTTTTGTTTTTGTTTTTTTTTTTTGTTCCTAGAGTATTTCAACTCAAAAAGTTGAAGAGAAGATTGGAATTACTAATTACTTTCAGTTCAGCGATTTAATTCTTTGCTAGATTGAACACAATTAACGTTTGCTTTTTCCTTAATAATAAGGTGCGCAGGGACTTCAATTAATTTTTCTTTCTTATTTTTTCTGAATTCTCCTTTTTTTTGATAAAAATTTTCCAACTTTATACATCAAATTGTCAATTAGAATTTATTTTTCTTTTTCTTTAATTTTACAAATATTTTGAAATTTGTGTTTTTGCAAAAATAAGTGCCCGAAGTAACTAAATTGATATATATAATGTTTTGAACGAATGGTAAAAACATTGCTGGAAGAAAAATATGTGATAATTTTGGGTTTAAAAAAGAAGGAGAAGAAGAAAAAGAAAAACGAGAAGTGGTTTCAAGTAAATTGCTTGCCCTCCCTTTGAAATATCCAAAAACTGAATAAATTATAAGGTCTTTTCAACGAATTTCCAAGAAACTACGTGAGAAACTCCTCCTACACTTGTATAGTTTCGTTTTTAATGATAAAATTGGTTCTAAAAATTATCGTCAATCATCCTTTTATTTAGAATCCGAAAGTTAAAAGCGAAAGGCATATTAAAATTTTTTTTTTTTTAAATTTTTTTAGAATTTAAAAAAAATTTTAATCGCAAAAAAATACAATTCTATTTTTAAAAAATACATTTTTGTATTAGGTTTAAAGAAATTTTTTGATTAGGAAAGAAAATATTTTATTTTTATATTAATAAATTAAATATCTAGAATAATAAATTATTTTTTGAAATAAATTTTTTGATGGTATTGTTTTTTTTATTTTGTTTCAGCTGAATCTACGCCTCATTCTTGTCAGCGGGAAAACAAAAGAGTTCCTATTTAGTCCAAGCGATTCTGCAGGGGACATAGCGCAACATGTGTTTGAAAACTGGCCGGAAGGTAAATTTAAGACAAAACTATTCTTCAAACAACTGTATTCCCATAAAACTCATTTACATTTTTTAAACATTGTCTCCAACAGTTGTTTGATATAAACTAAATAATAGAATTTATGTGTCACATTTTTAGTAATTTAAATAACACTTCTAGTTTCTATATATTTAGGAATTATTTTTTTGAATTATATAATATTTAAAAAAAATTACTTTTTCAGGAATTTACTTTCTTTTTTCCTTTATTTTCATGTTAAGTTTTATTTAAAAACTCTTTTTTTTCTTCTGATAATAAATAATAATTTGCTAATTAATATAATTTAATATTTTATATTCAATTAATTGTTTACTAATTAATTTGTAAAGTGTAAAGCAAGTACAAAACAACAGGTTATTGTAGAAGTACCTTTACTTTGTTATTCAGTATAGGTTATCTCTTTTGCTCTCATAGAATGCGTTTGGTCGTTCGATATTGAATCGAACTCTTGCACTGTGGACATACCTTAAGTCGCTTGCAACTATACATACGTCAACTTACGTTGAGAAACTATTAAGACACGCATCCTAGCCAACCCTGGTTTTATTTCAGTGATTGTCATTTGTGACAAATTATCACTGTTCATTTTAAAAAATGAGCAAAAACGAAGCATTTTCTGATGAATTATTATGACAATTCATTAAGTTATATAACAAATATTGCAAATTTTCAAAAAATAAATATTTACAAAATTGAAAAAGAAAAATTTGTTATTGTTTTTAAATCATTTAGATTATTTTATTTATTTTTTTTTGAGAGTATTTTCTTTTTTTTCTTTTCCCTTTCACACTAGTCAATAGAGTAAATAATAATATTGAATTAAAAATTGCTAGTAAATTAATTAATATACAATATTTAGAAACCGATAGAGTTGACAGAAAATTTTATTTGTTTATATTTTCCTCAATATTTTACTTTCTAGAAAACTAACCTCAAAAAATTTGCTTTTTTTACAAATTTTTTTAAATATGAAGAAATTGTTAAATAATTATATTTTAAAAGCAACTTTTTTTGTACATTAAATCTGAATAATTAAATTTGTGATAATATTAATAAATTTCATGTTACTTAAATAGTAGTTATATTTTTTATTTTATTAAAGGGTGTCGTTCACTGTTTTCATATCATACATTTTTAAATTAATATAAACTCTTATCAAAGTGTTTTTTAGGTTATGTTTAGAGATAGTTTTTCTTTGATTAAACATTTTTTTGTAATTCTGTAAAATAAAAAATTAGTTTTTATTGAATATTTTGGATCTAATGAAAATATTTGAGTAAATTCTGTCTGATCCTAATAGTAAAGCCTTCTTAGCAGAATAGAAAAAATTTTAATTGCAGAACAATCATTTTGTTATAATAAAATCAACAAGGCAGTTTTTTTGAACAAGTTAAAATATATATTTTTTAAATTTACAAAATTGAATTTCAGTTTTTAGAAAAAATTTTTTTTTTTTGGAAACTTGTGCTAATAATGAAAAAATGATTTTAGATTGGGCGGAAGAGGCGGTTGCCAAAGCAGAAATTTTGCGGCTAATATACCAGGGGCGTTTTTTGCACAGTAATGTCACGCTTGGTGCACTTGGGCTTCCTTTTGGAAAAACATCAGTGATGCATCTTGTACCACGAGAAAATTTACCCGAACCTAATTCTCAAGGTGACTTTCTTCTTATGAAATAATTATTCAGCTTTTTTTTTTTGCAAAATAACTAAAAATACAAAAAATAAATTTAGATTTAGATAAATAAAAATAAATAAAATACGCTTTAAAAAAAATTTATTTTTGTTAAAAATTAATAATTAAAATACAGAAAAAAAAATTCAATCTCGAGATTAATTTATTGCAAAATAAAAGAAGTGTTCAATGAAAAATAAATTAAAAATGAATTATCACGATAAAATAGCAATTTAATTGATGGATGAAATTAGAAAAATTAAGTATTAATTAATACCGTCTATTTTATCAAGACTTTTTTAATCTATAAAGTTCAATTCAAAGGTGAAGAAGTCAATTATGTGTCAAAAATTAATTTATCACTATCCGGATATTTATAAAGTGCAAATTGCACACGGAGATATTGAATATAAAGTCAAAACATCTGAATTTTTAAATTTATTTTCTTCTCTCTTTTTTTAAAAAAAAATAAAGCAATATTATAATTTTATAATTAATTGCTTATTAAACTTGTATCAATCTATTTATAATTTTTTTTTTTTTTAATGAATATTAATAATGTTATTGGTTCTATTTTTATTAATTTGAGAGACGACCTGGAATCGAACTATTAACTATTTTCTTTAAAATAAATTTCAAAAAAAAAAAAAAAATTGCCTACTTTTTACATATTGCAGGAATTTTACCAAATGGCGAATATATGCACATAATTCCAGACGAAATTGAAGAATAATCTTAAAAAACAAAAAAAAAAAGCAAAAAAGATCCAAATTTCTAAGTGAGTTTCCATTTAACGATCCCGTCCTTTTTCCTTAAAAAGAATGTTAAAAAAAAATGCGTTACTGAAAATGTTACAATTTATAGGATAATAGTATCAATAAAGGTAACGGATTAAATTTTTCCAGTAACGGTATAGCAAAAACTTGCATATTTCTATCCGTTATTTTTTAAAACATTTTAAAATTTTTCATCAGTAAAGTAATAGTTTATTAATTATTTTTTTACATTTTTATTATTATTCTATGTATTTTTTTATATATATATTTTTCCTTTATGCTTTTAATTATCTTCGAATAACGATTTTTAATTATTATTTTCATTTGAGAAAAATAAAATTTTGCCTATTAAATTTTTACAAAAATGAAGTAAAACGATAACGATTCAAGGTTCTTACTAATTTGGGAAAACCTTAAAAACCTGGAAAAGACAAATTAAAAAAAAAAATTGGAAAACCTGAAAAGACTTTCAATATAATGACTTAAACTTTTATCTTATCCATTTTTTTTTTTTTATTGATAATAATTTGTGTGATTATTTTTTATTATATTTGTTTCAATAATTATTTAAATTATTTATTTATGCATTATTATTATTTTATTTTTAATATTTTATTAAAATTATTCTATTATATCTCATATTAAATATTTCAATATTTTTATTTTTTAATTTTAAAATAATTATTTTTCAAGTTTTATAAATTTACCAAATTTTAATAATTGTTCAGGAAATTACGAGGCAAATTTGTAATAATTTAAAATTTATTTAAAGTAAAATTAATTTGGAAATTAAAAAAAATTGTTTTAATTATTTAGTTTTTAATAAAAAAAATTTTCGGGAAACCTGAAAAGACAATGAATAATACAGAATTTTGTAGGAACCTTGAATGTCAAATAATAACAATAACAACAAATTAATATAAAATTACATAAAAATAGTAATTTAAAAAAAAATTTTTTTGTATACAAAAATTTTTTCTTGGATCTTAAAAATATTTTCTTTTTAAAAAAGGAAAAAAAAAATTGTGAATCATAGGCATTGTAATGAAATCAAAAAATCAAAAATTAACCTTTTTTCTATTTTGTTTACAGATCAGAGACAAAAAAGTAAAGGTGGAGGAAGTAGTTGCTGCTCAGCTTCCTGTTGCATACTTTAAACGTTGGCTGCCCTTTTTTTTCTTTTATTTTTTATCTCACTCTCTCTCTATCTTTCTTGTCTCTCATTTGTCCGAGGCGCATTTCTCCGCAAATCGGCTCTCTGCACAACAAAAGGATCTGAGCCAATCACATTTATAGAAAAAAAAAAAAAAAAAAAAAAAATGATTTTCTGCTGGAAGAGAAATCGCAAGTGGCTTTTGAGCACCGCGGACAGGACATATTATTATTATAATTATAATTGTCAACTTGTGACGAGCGATCCCACAGTCCAAAGATCAAAAAAGTGGGACGCCAAATTTTTAGAATCAAAAAGAAGAAGAAAAAAAGAATAACAAGAGAACTCGCCGCAACATCACCCATTTGCAATCGTCAAAAAAAAAAAAAAATTAAAAAAAAAAAATTTTTTTAAAATGTGTATTAATCTGTTATTCTTGGTTTTCAACTTAAATCCTCGACTTTCAGGAAATACTCAAAAATCCTCATCCACAGGATTTGCGCATCGAAAAAAAAGAAACATGGAAAATTCGCTCTCTGTTTGTTAATTAGTGATGGAATATCGATTATGCTCTCTGAAAAAAAACTATCGAAATTTCAATTGTCGATTTTCATGTTGAAATATCGATTTTAAATAAAATATCGATATGTCAATTTGAAAACAAAAAAAAAAAAAACAACAAAAATTGGCGGTAAAAACCGTTATAATATTAAATTCCAATAAATCGATATTATTTGATAATATTGATTTTAAAACAAACATTTTTTAAATATCGATACAAATGCTTATATCGAAGCATATAAAATATAAAACGATATTTTAATTATATCGATTCAAAATTATCGATATATCGATTTGATTTAGGAATATTAGAATATTTCGAATTAAAATTATCAATATATCGATTCGAAAATATCGATATATTGAATTAAAATATTTCGATTTGAAAATATCGATTTTAATAATAGTGAATATTTCGATTCAATAATATCGACTCGTAATTATCGATAAATATGTCAATTCATAATTATCGATATATCGATTTAGAATATATCGATTTAAAACTATCGATATATTGATTCAGAATATTTCGATTCAATAATATCGTTTCGAAATTATCGAGATCAATGATTCAGAATATTTCGATTTAACTATATCGATTTGAAATTATCGATATGTTGATTTAGATTATATCGATGCGTAATTATCGATGACTATGTCGATTCGAAATTATCGATATATTATTTTAGAATATATCGTTATTTCGATTGCAGATTATTTCGATTCGTAATTATCGATGTATTGATTCAGAATATATCGAATCGAAAATGTCGATTCGAAATTATCGATATATTATTTTAGAATATATCGATATATCGATTGGAGAATATTGCGATTCGTAATTATCGATATATCGATTTAAAATATATTGATTCGAAATTATCGATATATTGTTGTAGATTGAAAAAATATTTTTAAAAAATGAATTTTTTTTTTTGAGGACATTCTGTCACTAATTAAGACAAAAAAAAAAATGTTACGCAAAACCGATTATTGTAAACAATTGCGACAGCAGCGTTATTATTATGATTATAATTATTATTATAATTATTATTATAATTATTATTATTATTATTATTATATAATTATGTAGGTGGAAAATACGCGAGAGTGCCTGTGTGCGAGTGTTGTATGTCAAGAGTATAAATGTTTGCGCGTGCGCCCGAATTTAAGAGTCTGAAACTATAAGTTTATGTTGTGATATGCAGGTAGCGAGTATATAAATATAAATATATATAAATATATATATTATATACATACTATTATTAAAATTATATAAATTTTTAATATATATATATTTATATATAAATATTGATATATAAAACATATTATATAAAATATAGAAATATTTATATATAAATATATATATATTTGAAAAAAAAAAAAAATGAAAATTGTATGAGATACGTTGACGTGCAGTTAAGCTCTTATAACGCGAATGAAAAAATAGACTTTTATTATATATATATTAAATATATATATATATCGATTTGTGAAATGACGCCAATTTTTGAGAGTTGTTTAGATTTTTCTCGGTCAATGATAATGATAATGATGATGATAATGATGATAATGATGATAATGATGAAAAGCGTATAAACATTCAAGAGTCTGATCGTATAGATAGAAAAGAAAACAAAGATGACCGATATATTTCACGTTATTCCCTATTTCCTTAAGAAAAAAAGAAAATTCCTTTTCATTCTCCTTTTTTCAAAATTGGACCTAAGAAAAGAAAAAAAAAAATTCTCAACTCTCAAATTAGTGCGAAATTTGTAATTTTAAATATTTTTTTTTAAAAAAAGGTAAATTTTTAAATTAACAAAATTTGCAAATAGAAAAAAAATAAAATTTAATCTGAATATAAATATTTATTATCTTGTTATATGTATCGATTAAAAAAAAAAATAAATAAATAAGTTGATATAAATAATGTAGAAAATATATTGATATTAAATTTACTTTAATATTAATATATTTTTAATATTATTTTTTTGTAACAAGATGATTTTTTTGTTTACAAAAAATTAATAGAAATAATATTTTTACTTTAATAATTATGGTAATTTTTTTTTTTCGTAATTTTGAAACACTTGGCCGATTCTTTTTAATTTTTGTTTTTCAATTCAGATAAATAATTTTATCACGATTTTTTAATTTTTAATCTGACTATTCGATATTATTGTATCGATTTGAAATAATAAATTTTTGTATAAATCAATATGTCGATTATATAAGATCGATAAAAATTTTTTTTTTTATCATTCGATATTAATTTTTTTTTTCTTTTTGAAATAAAATTAATTTTTTTTTCCACGAAAATTGAAAAATTTTTAGAGAAATTTTTTTAAAAAACAAATTGTTTTCACAAATTTTAGTATATTATTATTATTATTATTTTTATTATAAATAATAATTTAAATTGATTTATTTTATAATAAATAATCGTCAATTATTTTTAATAATTAATTAATTAATTTCTCTAATTTTTTTAGAGAATACATTAAAAAAAAAAAAATTTTTTTTTTCAAATTTCGCACAATTGAGCGCCTTGGCTTTAAAAATTAGGTCCAAAAAAAAAAGAAAGAAAAATCATTACAATGCGTTGTAGCTTAAAATACTATACTCTCCTACGCTAATTGTATTACAAATCTTACCAGTGATTAAGAAATGTGTATATATATATATATCTCGTACTTGTGTAGTCGTATTTGATCGAAAAATTAAAAAAAAAAAAAAAAATACTGTTTTTAAAAAAAGCAAACAATTTTTTTACATTTGACAAAATATTATTTTAAAAATTCTCAAAATATTGACTCTTCTTTAGTTTCGTCGTCAAGTTTGATACACAATTTTTTTTTTCGTAAAAAATTAAAAAAATTATTTCAACAAATCAAACGACTCAAAAATTATAAATTTTTTTTATTAATATTAAATTATTCCGATATCAGAAAAATATTAACGAAAATTTCTGAATTTTTTTTTTATCGAATTTTTGTAAATCAATTATTATCAATCATTATCGATAACATCGAATATTATCAAAGTATGTTAATATCGATTATTATCCATATTATTGATTTATATATCGATAATATCGATTTTTACGCGATAAAATTTGATTTTGAAACGATAATAAAAAAAAATATATATATATATATATATATCGATTGTTGTATTATAATATTATAGAGGCAAAAATTAATTTGGAAATTAAACAAAATTTCTCCTTTTTAAATTAAAGAAAACTTTTTTTTTCTCAATGAAATTAAATTTTTATTTTCTTTCATCGATCTCTAGAAAAATTAGATTTACAATAATATTTTTCAAAAATAGAAGAAAAATTTCATTGTTTATGAAAGGAAAAAAAAAATTTATAGTCGATATATTAAATTACAAAATTCATTTCAATTCTTGAAATACAGTCTTTTATTCTTACACCTAAAATAAAGACTATTTAAAAAAATGGAAATTAAACGTTTTATAATAGTAAATTAAATATATAAATATTAAAAAAAAAGAATCAATAAATAAAGAACATAAAGTGTCGTTAAGCGCTCTTGTTAATGGATTTAAAGATAATTACAACAGTTTTATCGAGGCTTTATTCGATTTTCACGATAAATTAAAAACAAAAAGAGACAAACCTCGTCAAAACGAGTTTAGCGATATTTCAAAAGGAAAAAAAAACCTTCCCCTCCGAATAAAAATGATTCCAATTTTTTATGAAAATGAAAAAATACAAATTTTCAAAAGCTGTAAATAGCCGAGTTTTTACGTTCTTCAAAAAAAAAAAAGAGAATTAAATGAAATAAAAATAAATTTTCCTTTCTTGTTCAATAAATCGTTTTTATTCGGATTTATTATTTCGGGATAGGTTTTTTTTTTTTTTTGAAATTCACAAAACTTTATAACACAGTTATAAAAAAAAGTCCAACGACCGTAGAAGAAACGCTTGTAATTTTAAATACAAAAAAAAATAAATTAGAAATCGAGTTAAGTTTTACTCTCAAAGACTTTTTATCGTCGAAAGGCGCAAAAAAAAAAATTATTGTAAAAAGTACTTGCGTTTCAATAGCTGAACGTCTTATTCGAAAAAAAAAAATTATTAAAAGAGAGAGAAAAGTTACATATTTAAAAAAAAAATGAGACTTTTATAAAAATTAATCGATTGTTTTTGCGATTTTTTGAAGGAAAAAATAATTAAAAACCAATTTAATTATAAAAATTATATTATGAATAAATAAATGGTTTTTAATTCTTCAAAATTGCTTTACAATCGAAAATAAAGTTTCTTTTTTTTGAGCGCTTTGTGACCAAAATTCGCTTGTACATGATGTTAATATTGTCTTCTGTAAATTCAATTTTTTTATTTTTTAAATTTTTTCTTTTACTGCAAATAGTCGAGGGATCGACTTAAAAAAAAAATAAATAAATAAAAAATAAAATAAAATAAGAAGGAAATGAATGTAGATTGACCGTCCTTATAAATACGAGACAAGTTTGTTAAAAGAAATTGAGAAAGAATATTTGAAAGAGCATAAAAAACAAAAATTGTACGAAATTGCTTGCCTTAGAAAATCGATTGTGAAATTTTAATTTTAAAAAAAGTGAAAATTTCCAATTTTTTAGAAATGGAAAAAAATTTATCATTTCTTTTTTAATAACTTTTTTTGAATAATTTAGAAAAAAAAATTTTAATTTTTTTGAAATTAGAACTGCAAATGCTCTCTTTCTTTTTCTCTCTCTCTCTCTCTCATTTACATTTTTCGACGAATCCCTCGAAATTTAATCGCTGGAGGATCATTCTATTTTTTTATTTAGAAAAAAAAAGAAAAATTGCATCGACAAGTATATAAACGAAAAATTCCTCAGTTTTGTTTCTTCATTTTTTTTTTTTTTTTTTTTTTTTTTTTGGGGGGGCCTCTGTGTGTTTTTTCATCAAAGGAAAGTGGGCCCATAGCAAATATCCTAATATCGCAATATGTGTAGCGAAATAATCCTAAATGTATCATGGAATTAAAGCTAATTAACTGTTCGAAGCGTAAGGGTAACAAAAAAGAAAAAAAAATAATAATAAACTTGTCCATGACGATGACTAGAGTATTAAAAAAAAAAAAAAAAAAAAGAGTTACACGGTTTATCCGTGATTTCAAGACTTCCAATAAAAAATTTTCAACCTCTTTTTTTCTCTCTATTCAATTTTTTTTTAACAAAAAATATTTAAATTGTCCACGAGAAAAAAAAAATTTTTTTTTCTTAAGAGGTGTCGTGATTTTTAATTGGAAGTCAAAAAAAAAATGGAATTATTCCTTTTAGACAATTGTGTATAGGTAAACGAATTATGAATTATATCTGAGGTATTTTGACAAAAAAAAAAAAAAAAATTTCTTTCCCATGGGAAGCGAATCTTAAATAGAAAAAAAAATCACTCTCGCGGCTCATCAACATTTTTTTCATTTGTAATTTCTTTTTTTCTTTGAAATCTCAAAGACCCCTCAGGATCAGGAGGCGTCGTTCTCTATTTTATCGCTACTAGATCCTAGGCACTATTATATAATTCATCTGTAAATAGAAACAGTATTGATATATATTTCAGACTAGTAAATGTTCTAGATTTATCGGAGAAAGCCGTTAATTGAATGATTAAAAAAAAAAAAATAAAAATAAAAATGTTTAATTAAAACAACAGGCAAAAAAAAAAAAAAGAATGAAGTTTGTTATTTTTCAAGATAAGTGAGAAAGGTCAAACTCCAAAGCAAGAGGAAACGAAACGAACGAGAAAAAGAAATTCCCTCATACCCCCAATCTCTCCTTTCCCTTTAAACAATCGAGCAAATCTGGAGAACATATTTTTTTGCAGGACAAATTTTGTACGTTCTCTCGTTAGACTCACAAACAGTATATAAATAATTGTAATTTTAAAGAAAGTTAAAAAAAAAAAAATAACTTTAATGTGAATATTGAAAAAAAATCCTCTCTCTCTTTCTCTCTCTTTCTGGTAGATAGTATCCGACTACTACATTCCTTAATATTATCTTGCTCGTACGCTTCCTCGTGCAGATTTTTGAGTGGTCTATACTCAGTTTTGCAAATTTATTATAATAATTATTAAGCTTACGTTACGCACCTCATTTGTAAATATTAGATCGTATTTTTGTCTTCGATGTAAAATCAACGAGGATCTTAACTGCAACTAATGGCTTAGTTTTTAGTGTAAGAATACAAAAAAAAAATAATAATAATAATAAAGTTACAAAGCGTAAAGGGAAGAAATTTATTTGTCTTTTTTATTTATAGCAAAAAAAAAACCCCCCTATTAAAAATTATTGACTTATTTTTTGTAAATGCCTTTCATATTGGATTCATAAATTTTTAATTTTTTTTTAAATACCAAAAATCTCCTAAAATAATTACAACACATGCATATGTTCGAAAAATCATTAGTTAGAATTTTTATTTTCTGGAATTTCATTTGTCATAATTATTTTTGAGCCGTATTTTTATTTATTCGAATTAGTATTTTGCAAGAATTTTCATCAATACGATTTTCTATAATATAGAATTTTTATATAACCAAAAATTCACTTCACAGAATTTTTATTTGCTCGAATTTTTATTTGTCAGAATTTTTATTTTCTCTAATTTTTATTTGTCAAAATTTTTATTTGCTCGAATTTTCATTTAAAATAACAGGGCATTTTAAAGAATTTTTATTGATTAGAATTTCATTGCATAGAATTTTCATTTTATTCTTTCAGATGAATTTTCATTTGTTAGAATTTATTTATTTTTATATTTATTTTATTTTATTATTTATATATTTATTTTCTACTTTTATCGATTGTTTGTTCGGACATTTGCAATTTCGGATAAATGAAAATTTTATCAATTAGAAATTCTGTTAAATGATTTTTCTGTTAAGTAAAAATTCTGTAGTTTTAAAAATCGATTATATAGAAATTCAATCAAATAATAATTCGAACAATTAAAAATTCATCTGAAAGAATAAAATGAAAATTCTATGCAATGAAATTTTACCCAATAAAAATTCTTTAAAATGCCTATTATTGTTTAATGAAAATTTGAGCAAATAAAAATTATGACAAATAAAAATTCGAACAAATAAAAATTCTGTGAAGTGAATTTTCGATTATATAAAAATTCTGTAATATAGAAATATCGTTTTGATGAAAATTCTTGAAAAATTCTAATTCGAACAAAGAAAAATTCGCCTCAAAAATAATTATTGAAAATTCCATAAAATGAAAATTCTAACTAATAATTTTTATAACATAATTATGCGTTCCTTTTTAATAACAGAGGTATCGTTCTCTGTCGCAAAGATGTCGATTTAGAAAGCGTTTTTTGATTTGATAAAGGACATTTATTTAATCATTTTACAAAGTAATATATATAAGTAAGGTGTTATTTTTTTTCAGTATTACACAAAGAAGTTTATAGAATTTTTTTAATAAAATATATTTATTACATATTTATATATAAATATTTATATATTTTTTTGTTGCTCATTATTTTAAAAAATCAATTATAGATAAAAAGATTAATTTTTTCAAAACGTACTAATTCAAAAAAGATATTTTTTATTAAAAAAAATTTAATAATTTTTTACCACTTCTGGTTGCATTTCATTTGAATTTTGCTGTTCATATTTTTGTAAAATTGAATTGCAGAAGATTTTATTTTTACAAATTACAGACAATAATTGAATATTACAAAATTTATAATTAAATAATAAAAAAATATTTAAAATAATTAAAATATAGAAAATCTTAGTTAAAATTATAAAAAATAAACTATAATTTGTCGAACATTTTGAAATAGAAATTTAAAAAATAATTAAATTTCAAAAGATTTAAAATAGAGAATTTTAGAAATTTCAGGAGAATTTGAAAGAAAAAACTATTTTTTACTTGAAATTATTTTTAATCTAAAGTTTCGAAGCAGTAAATTTAATCACAATGTTTATAAAAAAATGTTTATACTTTTAAATGTGGTAGAGATTTTATACTATCTTTATTATTTGAATAAGAATAATAATATTACTATTCGTACATATTATATACATAATATTATCTACATATTATTTTACATTATTTTCAATCTATATTTATATTGGTTTAAAAAAATAAACTTTTATTTTTTTCCTAAACTTTTTTATTAACTGATTTTATTATTTTACGCATAAAATGAATAATACAGTAAATAATAACGGTTGGGACATAAAAATAAAAAAATTTTTTAACAAACATTTTAAAGCAGTAAAAACCGTACAAAATGGAATTTTATTAAATTGAAAAAATCTTTCATACTAATTTTTAATGAAAGAATAATTTCTAATATCATATAATTTTTTCTTTATTATTTTATCCCGTTTATTATAAAATAATTAAATGAAGATATTTTTTTTAAAGAATTGCATATTTTAATTTAAAATATAGTTTTTTAAACTGCGAGTAATAAAAAAGAATTTATTATTTTTGTTTACAACAATCATCCATTAGTTCCGTTTTCTTTTTATTTTTTTTTATTTATAAAAAATCTCATCTTTCAAATAAAAATAGCGATAAAATAAATAAATAAGAAAATATTGACCAAATTTGTCAAAAAAATTAATTTTAACAATTTTTATTTTAGAAATTTGTAACCATAAATGTGTTTTTAAATTTTTGTTTATTATAATTTATTAAAATAAAAATTCCATTTAAATAAGAGTTTTCTTTAAAAATAGAATTTGTGAATCTCATTTTTGAAAGTTTAACATATTTAACTTCGTTTAAAAAAAATTCCCATTTAACAGATAAGTCACTATATTATTCTATTAAAAATGAGGTAATTTTTAATAATAATTAATTATTTTTTATTAATTGATGGTCAAGGCAAGATTTATTTTTAATTAATACATATTTTGATAATTCGAATAATTCAAATTATAAGTAATATTAGTAATATTTATTATATTAAAATTATATTAAGTAGATTATATATATATATAAATTTAACAAAAAAAAAGTGATTTGGTAAAGAAAATTAAATTTTTCAATTTTAGGTGATCCGTTTGAGAAATTCTGACCGAACATAAAAAAAAAAACAAAAGCAGACGAAACCGAGAAAAGGTAAACTCTGGAAAGACACAATAACAGTAGATAACAATACCAATATAACCCAAGAGACTATTTGATGTGAGTTTCAATATATGCTACAAATCCATCAGGTCATAATCTTACAAACCCTCATTTTCATTCAAAGAAAAGAGTCATAAAACTGAGAAGTAATTTTCTCATTTCACAATATGCAGTGAGAAATATTATTTTCTCTATACTGATGCAGCTGCCTCATTATTTTCATATTATTTATTTTTCGGTTTTATTAGATAGGTTAAGAAATAAATATGATATATATTCTGAATATTTCAAAATTTGTATTTTATAATTTGATGGACATATTTTTACGAAACAAAAAAATATCGTCATTTTTGACAAGTAATTTTTTTTCAACCTTATTGATATAGTTTATAAAAAATATATTATATATAAATATTAAATTTTTGTTTCCTTTTTGAATATAAAATCATTGTTATTTTGAGGTTATTGTTTCAAATTTCTTGTATATTGACATAAAATTTACCGGATATTAATTTTTCTATATTTTAGTACTTTTTATGTACTATTGCTGCAGAAAAATGTTGTTTAACAAATAAATATGTATATAACCTCACTTTTTTCTCAAAATAATTATTTTTCTCCAGTTTTAACGCAATAGCAAAGTTTTATATTTTCTTTAATTCTAGACCAAAAAGCTGAGATTCATTCCAATGAGAATAAGTCAAATAAAATATATGTATTTAAGAAAATTATTTATTTTACATTTTTTTTATATGTAAAAAAAGTTGTCACTTTTTTTGAATTTGTACAAATTATATGGAAGTTTATACTACTTTTTGTACATGAACAAAATTTTAAACATGAATACATGGGGCATTGCTGGGGGTATGTACATAGGGCGTATACCTGAGTATCGAAAGTACTTTGAGTGGTTGATGAAAGACAATGAAAGGGAGGGCTCAATGGATTTTGAGGGTTGTGTTAAAATTTGCCAAATCCTGAATATCTTATATCTGTTCGGAAAACCCAGTCAACTCAGTAATTAGTTTGCTTTTAGTCGCAGTCACGTTTGCAGTAAAATCGCATGTGTAGTTCTTGTTCGTAAAACAAATTGCTTGTGAGTAGTTCTGTGTGTGAAAGTGCATTAAATTTGATTATAAGTGGAAATTCTCCAAATATTTCTACAAATTTATTTATTGTGTAGCATTTTGAATCCAAAATCAACATATTATGTAAGTACTTATTTTATTATAAAAATATTTTTATTTATTGATTTCAATTTTGTTATATATTTTATCTATGTTAGATAATTTGTTACGTGTATTTTGATTATTTTTTTAAATTGTCTTTGTGCATGATTAAAAAAAAATATATTATATATAATTTTCTTGTCAATTTTTAAAAATATCTAGTTCATTTTATTTATGACGCTATGTTTACGTGAATGTGATTTGCATGGAACGATGAGTGTTACAAGGATAACAATATATATGTCTGTCTTTCTTTCCCTCTCTCTTTCATAAACCAGTGTTTAACTTATGACCTAGAGTGACGTCACTTTTCAATATATCGTATTACTTGTTGCCAAACAATGCATTCAAAACATTGGATCGGATCACTTTTTTTAATAATAACTTTTAAAAAACTAATTTTTAAACATAAGTGTATTAGTAAATTTTTTTTAATTTATTAAGAGCTATTTTTAAAAATATTGAAATCAATAAATCAGTTTTTATTGTTTTAAAAAATATTGATAAATGACAAATAATTTATTATACACTTATTTGAAAATAAGTTTTTAAAAAGTTATTATTTAAAAAACTGATTTGATCCATTGTTTTGAGTATATTGTTTAGCCTCAAGTCATTGGAGCGAATTAGTTTTTTAAAAATAACTTTTGAAAAAATAATTTTGGTGGTATTGGTGATAGTGGTAGTTGACGAGTATTATGACAAATGGCGAATGTTGAAAATGGAAACAACCTTTACATGGCTGCGTTGAAAACTGCGACTATAAATTGATGGAGCATTTACACCTTTGGTAAAAAAAAATTTTACTTTGATTTTCCGAAATGCAAAAATCTGATTGGTTGTCCATTATCAATCAGATTGTAAACAACCAATCAGATTTGTGTATTTTGGAAAATGGAAA